GCGATCGTCACTAGTTTTTTACCTCGTTAAGAGGTGTTTTTATTTGATTTTATTTAAACTTAAAACCAATGAGAATATAATTTTTAAATTCGATTGGCAAAGTTATGATCAAACTTGTTCACAATTTCCGAGGTATTGGGTAATCCATTTTTCTTCCCGATTCGTATTCTTATTAGCATCCGTATTAGGTTTAAAGAAAAGTAAATAAATTTCAGAATAAACCTTTTCCCGACCTTTACTTTTCGCTAAGTGTAGTCAGCATCCCCTTGATTTTCCTTAAACTCCATTGACAGCCAGCGAAGTTTTCTGGCAGTCAATTTGCGATGTCGAAACTGAGAACGAATCCCGCTCGAGTGGCGACAACTGGCAATTGTGTGGGGGTTGTGATTCGGTACCCCCACTGGCTAACCCCTTTTGTGGCCATTCATTATGCAAAAGCTGCTACTGTTGTCCGCATAAATTCGAACGAGACCGAGACCAGCATAAACAAGTCAAGTGCAAGAACAGGGTCACTAGTTTTTGGTCAGAGCAGAATTATGGCCATTTGGTAATTGTACAATCGTATGCAGCAGGAACAACGGCAATGACAACTGTTTCGGGGGCTGCAACATGATTCTGGGACTCTAGTCCCCTCCTTTCGGGCCAACTGTCATCAGCAAGGGGGAGAAATGTTTCTTATTCTCACTTTCTTTGCTGCTGGCCACAAAAACCGCAACAAGCCCCCAGGAAAACTCGTTTGCTCTTTGTCGCCAGCATCGTTGGGAGCCCCAAAACGATATTAAGGTCGGTTCTTGCCATTCTGTATTCACTTGCGTGTTTCGATTTCTTTAAGAAAATTTGAAGGGGATTTTTTCGTGACGATTTATCATCCACCTGGGTCCTATATATACATATTTTTTTCTTTATCAATTAATGTCCTGCCAAATTTTGGGTTCATAAATTTGCTGTTAGTACGTGACAACAATTTTTTGTCGACTTTCGGGGGTAGATGGAGTCCCCTGTCAATTGATTTTAATGGCTTTTCGTGGCTGTGCCTGGCATTTAAGCTAATTAAAAAGCGTCCGTTGATATCTTTTCGGGAGCATAAATTAGTCGATAATTGGGAAAAGTGTGAACACACAAAATTCAGTGATGGGTAAAGGAAAAACCTCAATAGCCACAAACAGGACAATCATATACACATGACACAGACAGGCGTACAAAATATCCGAGTGAACCGCAGAAACATTGTTGCAGGCCTCGCTTGTGGTATATGTATGTATAGATGATACATATATTTTTTTAAATCCAAGGACGAAGGACGAACAGCAGGGAACAGCTGCCAGTCAGCGAGACAGACAGGAAAACTGACATGCAGCCAGACCACAATCATAAAAAAATCAGCAGCGGCCAAGCGACAAAATGCATTTGAACAAGTTTTTACGAGCTGGGGCTTAAGAATTGCAATAAAATATTTTTGCAACAATTTAGATGCCACAGTTTCCCCTTGGCGGCATTAGCTTTGGACATGCAGTTGGCTTGTCTTTATGGCCTGGCCACATTAAGCGCCATTAATGACCGAACCATCCCCACAAGCGGATGGTCAGAGATTTCCTTTTATATCGTACATTGTGTTGCCAGTGCAACAACGGCGGACATAAAATGAAATGGCTTAAGGGAAACTGCATCTTGGCCAATTAGCTTTTACCTCAAGGAAGCAAAGGAAGTGCGGCCCCTTAAAATATAGTTATTGGGGATATCCCAATACTTATATATTGAAAACTTCAAAAAAAGATCCAGCTTGGCTCAATTAATAGACAAATAGTTTATTATTATTTTATAAATATTTTTAAAAATTACCTAAACTGTTTCCCTGTATGATAACTTAAAGCCTGATGATAAAAGTCCCATTATAATAGCATTTCTTCCGACTCCTGTTATTGTTTATTTTCGTTCTGCTATTTAATATCGTTAAAATTCATTCAAGTGCGAAACTTGTCGATAAACTTTGCCGCACCGCAGAATAGCAAACGCGAAAAATGGTATGGGATGGGAGAAAAAACTGTTAAGAAAGCTGTGGAAAAATATGGCGTCTTTGATTTTGACATTGTGCCACATCACGTAGTGCATATACATATATAAATATGTTTGGATGGCGGAACGCCTGAACAAGCGAAAATAGCGCATAAATTTATGACACTCGAATTGGAGGGGGGCGTGGCATGTGGCATTTGTGCAGCTAAGCGTGGCAGCTTTTCGGGGGCAAAAAAAACGAAAAAGAAAAAGAACCATATATATCGAACACTATTTATTTGGCAGAACAGAAAGCGAATGTGACACATTTTCCATGAGTTAAATATGTGATAAAGTTGACTTTGATTTCGCCACTCGACTGCAGTTAACCCAAATTGCTTCAATGTCAGCTTTTATGGCCGCACAAAAGACCCTACCCGGCCCGACTCGAGAACTCGAGATCCTAGAGGAACAGGCACCCTCTGCAAAACTTAAAGGATTCCCCAGCAGCTGTCCAAACATAGAGCACACAATTCACCATCAAATTCGCTGAATGTCAGCGGGCAAATGTGTGTGTCAGAAAGCTCAAAAGCTCAATGAGATATCTTCTATTTGATTTCGAGTTAGTTTATGGGAGTGCGGTCGGGTTGAAGAATGCAATAAAATTGGCGTTAGATAAATAGATAAAGTATTTCAAGGGCCGGGCTTCGCCTCGTAAGCCGATAAAGGCGATGGGATAAAAGCTTTCCAAATTGGGTTAACTTTTGACTTGGTTGGCCCCGCTCCGGGTGTTTTCTTTCTTTTATTTCACCCTATAAATTATATTTTCGCTTATATCGCGCTTTAAATTCCACACATCCCGGTAATGTGCTTAATAAAAACTCATAAAATTTCATTTATCCGAGCCAGAAGAACTCAAAGAAGTGGCTGGCATGCGGAAAAATCTGCGTCAAAAATATATGTATGAGGCAACATGAAATTTTTATAAGTTAAACATCAGCATTCAATATATATCGCATACACTGCGTACACTCGCTCTCATCTGCATACAGGTAAATTGAATTTTGACGTAATAAAGTCAAGGAACAAATTTCTGTGAGGATTTAATGAAAAACTCTGGCTTCCATATATACATTCATATATTGGAGGTCACCATATAAAATACCGTTCAACGAATCAAAGCGACCTACTGAACATAATTGCGAGGTGAGGAATAACAGTGGTCCCCACATTAAAATGACACTTATTAATTATAAATAAATGCCCCAATTAAGAACAATGCGTATCGCAGTAAAAGACTTAAGTTCGGATTTTGCAATTACTTAATTTGATTTCCGTTGCAAAGAGATGTCATTATTTTTAATGATATATCACGGGTAATTAGCAGGGCTAGGCGAATGAAAATGTTCCCCTCAGAACTTACAAAAAAATTCATCTGGCAAATGCAAGGCCTTTGAGTGAAGCATTAATATTAATAAGTATGCTGGAAATGATTTGCGTTTAATGCCGGTCTAGCAGCAGGATTTTGCCAAGTTTTAATTAAAATGTCGTCACATAGAAACCTAGCCACAGTCGGGTTGGCAATTAGCAATGTTTTGCAATAAATTTAATTCAAAATCGGTCCCAAACATTTGCTAATTTAAGAGCCATGGTGGGAGGCCCTGCATCGGTTTAGGAACTTATCACACATACGCCATGTGCGCCCCGGTTGCAATGGGAGTTGTCAACCTGCCGCACCAAATGTGCATAATTCTTGCACACAGATAATGCCCAGTCAAGGCAGCTAAATTATAAACCGAAACACAAACAACGCAGGCATAAGAGAAAGTTGTCCTCTGTTGTCCTTCTTGGGATTGCTAAGTAAATTGATAAACAGAAATACTTGTGTCGAGAACGTTGCTAACGTACAGCGAGAAAATATTGGTTAATTGTTTTATGGGAATTTATTTTATAAAATATATATACAGTGATATAATAATACTTAATTATCAAACTGGATTATTATTTGCTATTTTGCTTTAAAAATGTAAAGATCAAAATAGTCTATTTTATTATCAAAATTATATAATGGCCAATACATTTTTCCCTGTACATTTCTCAAGTTCTAAATGGGCTGTTAAGCGGCAAAAGTTTTGTCGCATCTGTTGGCTTAGATCTGTGTACGGTCCTCAGGTTTTCGCTTGGTCCGATGGTCTTTGCATTTATTTAATTAAAACGCACTGGCTTTGTCGTCCGTTGTTATTGGTGCAATTATAAATGATATATGTAATTTACTAGCTGCCTGACATCTCTGCTCACTGATATGTCTCATTGTCAGTGGCTTTGTTTGTCCGTTCCTTTTCTCCACTCCCAAACATTGTACTTCCCTCGGAGTTTTCCTTGTTATATTTGCCCTGCTGGCATATTAAATCATCTGTGTACTTGGACTCAACTCAGGCAGAATGAGAGGACTTTGTGGGGCAATTTGAAATTCATTTCGGTGAGTTCGAAGCAATTTCGGCAACCACAATAGGTGTTGTTTAACATTACCAACGGTAATAATAGTTAATTATGCGACTGAATACTCGACACAAGAGGTTTAAATGGGCTGAAAATAAAATTTCGCTCGAATTCATTTGCAATCGTATTACCGCTTGCTCTCAAGTCTGTGATCAAATGGAAAATCCATGAATATCAAATAAATTACATCATCGCACATGCAAATAAAAATCAAATGGAAAACCAAAATATCCCGGGCTGTTTAATATGCAAAGCGCGTTTGAAACTCCCACACATAAAAAGAGAGGAAAATGGGGAAAAGTCTTAAATAAAAGGCAAACAAAATGTTTGTCGCCTCAATAAGAGGCGTCAAATTGTTGCTCTGTCTGGCAGAAAAAGTTTTCCTTATTATGTCTAGTACGTGATAATTGCGAAGTACCAACAGTCTTTGAGTCTTTGAGTGTCAAATTGAAAACGAGAAATTTAACCGAGCGAAATGGTTGTTTTTCTGCCTTTTTTCCCATCGACAGTCACCAAGTTCATACGCATTGGCATCGCCGATAAAAACGATAATCCGCCCTATTTCGACAAATCGCTGTACGAGGCCGAAGTGGACGAGAACGAGGACATTCAGCACACAGTACTCACTGTAACGGCCAAGGATCACGACGAATGTAAGTAGAGGGTGTCCTCTGTGCCCAAAAATATGCCCAAAAATTCCGCAATTATTATCTTACACACACATTTTTCTTTTTCTCCTTTTTCCATCTTTTTCCTGAATTTTTTCTGTGGCTTTCCCTCACAGCCTCACGTATCCGCTATGAAATTACAAGCGGCAACATCGGCGGCGCTTTTGCGGTTAAAAATATGACGGGTGCCATTTATGTAGCTGGCGCTTTAGATTACGAAACTCGACGCCGGGTAAGTAAAAAACCGAAAACCCAAAACCCAAAAAAAGGAAATAACAAGAACCGCGTACACAAAAAATGAAAAATGCAAAGTGAAAACCCGTAGAGGAGTCCTCTGTAATCGACAAACGTTCTTTCGCAGCGCAGATATATTTATGACATAAGCGTTGCGAGCTTAGTCAACTGTGAGATTTGTTTATGTCATTGGAAAGCTAAGAATACATAAGGGACAACAGCGATTACAATAAAACATAACAAAAAATATATAGAAATTTTCTTAAAGCTACTAGAAAAATGTTTACTAAGGTTTAGGGCAAGAAATATAAAGCTTTAAGAGTCGATTGGAGCCCGAATCCCGAGAAATACCACAGAAAAAATTCATTTCACTGCCCAGCCAGGCATTAAGGCCCTCTTCTTCTTGGCCAACTATAAAATTCATTAAGAAACTCGCTCTTCCTTTGAATTTCAATTTACACGCTTCGCATACCGCGAGGCTGCTTAAATATTTAAAAGTTCAAACAAGTTTTGTTACACGAACTGTGGTCAAAAAGTCAAATACCAAAGGCAAGAAAAGGGATGGCCAACCATTAATTGAATTGCAATTCGAACAATTGGCCAAAGTGCAGAGTCAGTCAGTCATTTAATTTTCGTGACTTTTATTGAAATGCGGCGAGGGAAACTTTGCCCAGGAAATATGCAAATATTTCCATTTATTAAGCCAAACAATTAAAATTGCAATAAAAATTTGATAATAAATATGAAAATGAATAATTTGTAAATTCTTTAAAAATGTAAACTTTCAATGGGCATGAAGAAAAATACAAATTTATTTTCTCTGGTCAAGAGAAATAAATTAATAATGAAATAGATATTCCTATGTGGAAGCTGCGGTGGCCATTAAATTTGTAAAATGTATTAATTTCCATTCATATTATGGTAAAACGAGTTTTTTTATAAAGATACCATCGATGCATTTATAAGATAAATTTCTCTCTCTGTGCGTTCAGTACGAACTTCGTTTGGCCGCTTCCGATAATTTGAAGGAGAACTACACCACCGTGATTATCCATGTCAAGGATGTTAATGATAATCCCCCAGTTTTTGAGCGTCCCACTTATCGAACCCAGATTACCGAAGAGGATGATCGAAATTTGCCCAAACGCGTCTTGCAGGTCAATGAATGAAACAAAATCAAAAACTTAGTTCACAACTTTTGTTTTGTTTTTCCAGTAGAGTTTTCATTCTGCTAGATTTTATTGCATGTGTTGAGTTTTTGTTTTAAAGTTTTTCCCCGCTCCAAAAACTGCCTGTATCACATTTTATTGCACAATATACACAATCATAGAATGTTAGAGTGAAATGTTTTTAGAACTATTTATATAAGGTTACATTCCGCTGAAATGTACGATTTGGAATCTATTTTTCATGGCCAATATTTATTTCAATCAAGGGAAAGGAGTTTTAACTTTTTTCTTTATTCACTCAATAAATTGTTGACATATTAAAGGTATTTACTGCTTTCCAATATTAATGGACTTTACAATCCCCATTTTTTGTGGTTTTGTTTCGAATATACTTACATTGAAAAAAACCAAACCAATGCATTTTTTTAAGTATAGGAGAAAGCAACATAAATATTTGAAGCCATTTGCATGATGTTACATCCCCCGCTTTTTCGTTTGATTTAAGGCTAGTGAAAAAAAATGACGAAAAGTAATTGAACAATTAAAAAATGCTGTCCATTCTAGAGTGGACAAATGTTGTAAAATGTGGGCATGAAAAAAATATGAAATTTATTTACAGAGAACACACACATGAAGCATTTAATTTGCGGTTGGCAGAAAAATGTATGGTAATATTATTGATTTATCATTAAGCAGGCAACGATAAAAAAAATATTTAAAAAGTAAAGATGACTTGAAAATATGTCGATTATCATACTTACTTTGAAATTACTATGCAGTTTGTAATGCATAATTGAATAAGTCGATTAAATTATTGCATTTTAATGAGTCAACAACTGTGCGGTTAAATATGGAAAATGCAAATTAGCTGTCAAGTCAAGAGTGGAAAAACATTCACAAGATATTCGCTGGATGCATCTTCATCGTGTGTAAATTATCAAGCGAGCTTTCATTTAATTTTTATCAATAGTTTTATGTTCTTTTCGTAATTTATGTGCATTTAAAATTTATTGTTTAATTTCGTTGTTTTTACTTTTTTGTTCTCTCCCCCACCTCAACAATTTTCCGTTGGCCATATATTTTATTTAATGTTTGCATAAAGTACGAACTGAAATTGGTTGCGTCGGACAGTTTGAATGAAAATCAAACAACAATCGTCATAAATGTGCGCGACGTCAACGATCTGCCGCCGCAATTCCCGCATACATCCTATGAGCGGACTCTCGACGAGGGAATGACCGACACGCCCTTTACCATTATGCAGGTCGCTATATTATTTACCATATCAGAGTCCTGTACATAAAATCATACTGAATACAAAATAAAGCATATAGCATAAGGCAAACAAACAAAGCAGCTCCACCATGTAACAATTAATTTAACCCAACAAGCGAGCCACACAAAATCTCATTCAGTCTCATTTCCCATGTAAACTTTGTGTAAACCAGCCATAACAATACGTAAACATTATGAATAATCGCCGTGTGCAAGGTGTAATGTTCGAATTTATTAAAAATCATTCAGCGGTAATTGTGTAAATTGAAAAGAAAATTCCACTGGGCATTACGTACGGTGTACTATTAAAAGTCTATAACTTTGCGCTGAGGTTCAGCAAGCCTAACAATTAGTGGGGTGACTTTAACGAGATATCGATTTTGTTGAAAAAATCCCTGCGGTCTTCAATTGCATGCGTAAATATTGTGCAGCAATATTCACATTTTATTTATCGTACATATTTTCCATTAGCCATTTTCTGTTTGCTACCAAAAGCTGCTAATTAAATTCAATACGCTCTTTAAGTATTAATGCCACACATTTGCACGATTAAGCTTGACCCGCTCAGATTTTCTGTTGTGGTTTCACCACGTTTCACTTGTGGCCAACTGGTGCCCAACTAATTTAATTAAAATGTACAAAGTTGGCGCTTAAGGCCAGCAAAGGGAATTAAAATCAATCAGTCAGCACTTTAACTTTGTTTATATTTACATTTTACTAACCGAAAGCAAATAATATTTTATTTACCATTTGTGTTCGCTCACTTCTAATAAAAATATTTTTTCACTGGCCAAACTTAATACCTGACAGCATTTGGCAAACAAATCATAATCCATACAAAAACGACTAAAAAAGTCGAAATGGTAATTAAAGTAAATAAATGCAATTGCAAAGTGTTATAGGGAAAGTGAAAAAATATTATCTGCTCTTACAAAATACATTTAATCTCACCGATGCATGAAATAGTTTTGTTATTGAAGTAGTTTTTGCACGGCATGTTTGTATTATTTCTTTACTACTTAACTCATTCTTTTTTTTCGTTTATTTTATTTATGGTGATTTTTTCTGCCTTTTCTCGATCGTTAATAATAAATATCTGTATTTATTTGCCGCGCGGAATGAACAGGTTACGGCCACAGATGGCGACAAGGATCGTCCCCAGAACATCGTGTACTTCCTCACGGGCCAAGGCATTGATCCGGATAATCCAGCCAATAGCAAATTCGACATCAACCGCACCACCGGCGAAATATTCGTTTTAAAGGTAAGTCATCAGCGAGAACAATACCGCAATGCTTGGCTCGTAATTTAAGCATTAACAAATTGCCAATGGCCGGTGCGCAAAAATGCTCGCACACATAAATAAATAAATATAAATAAAATGCGGCATTTAAAAATCCATGCCAGCCAAGGCCGCAGCTGGTCGGGAGCTGAAAATAATGGTGAAATTTCGAAATATGCTGTCGCTGATTAAGCTTCATCAATGTGCTTTTAAACCCTCTTCGAATCAATCGCAATCCCCACAAAATGCAAACGTGCGAATCTGTTTACGTGCTCATTATTTAACATTTAAGTTGCCGTTGATGGACATAGGTAGGGGTTCTCATTGCGGCTGTTAAATAAAATGCTTAAATGGATTCGTTGAGGCAGAGAAAGTGACTGATGACCCTCAAGGTCTCGCTGATTTGAAAAGAAAATATTTCATTCGGAAGGAAAACGGACAGAACATTTAAAACAATCAAACAATTTTGATCTGCTCTTTAAAGTGTCCACTAAAAGCCTGAATCGAAAAGTAAATTAAAACTAATTGCAAAATCACAATTGAAAATCCCTCGCCACACGCGAGTTGGAAAATTTCACTTAACTCTAGTGTAGTCCCAAAAACGCCAAAGCCAAATTAAATGAAATTCCCATGCGTCCAGCTGAAATAAAAATAAAACGAATAACATTTTTGCCGCACAATTCGGCCATTTTAGTCCATAGACTATCTCTCTCTACGTGAATATAATTTTAGAAAAGTGGCGGGAGGAGAACTTGATAAGGGATAACAAACAGCTGTACCGCATTTTTCCAGGGGGTGAGGGGTTGGAAAGCACGGTATGTGACCCACTCACAACTAATCCCTTAAATTGAATATGTCATAACAATGTTGGCAAATTTGTCATGCAAATTAAAGCGATGACTACGCAGGGGTTATGTGTACATATTTTTCTTTTATTCCTCATTCAAAGGGTATTTCTGGGGAATTTAAGTTGGTGGCGAACTTTGTAAAAAATTTGAGGATTGTTCCGATTAAAGTGCGGGATTTTTAGTCAAATATCACAATTTGTAGAATTTTCTTTATAATCAATTCAGTTCATAATTTTAATGAAAATTTGTAATTTGTAAAAGTGTTACAACTATTTTATTAAAATTATCCATGACCAATAAAATATTAAATATTAATGTGTGACAGGTATAGATCTTAATGTCTGAAATCCGGCTTTTATGGGCTTCGCCATATTTTCCCAGAGTATCTATTGGTGTATTCCATCAACCAAATTATTTATATACACACTTCCTTTGTTGTTGTTGCCTCGTACAAATTTTTTTACGGCAAATCCAATGTCAGCGCCATGAAAAGCTCCTCTTGTTGTCGGTCTGCTGTGCCTGTCACATGTCGCCGAGGGTTAAGGAGGGCGGAGGAGGGTTAAGGGGTCGTGGGGCTGCGACTTGCTAACAAGGGTTTGGGGCATTTTCCAAGGGTTGCCAGCAGCCAACAGATACAAAGTACTGATTAAAATCGTTCTTTTTTTTCCCTTGCGCATTTTTATTATTTGCATACGTGTGCGAGGCGGGTTGAGAATGTTGGGTGGGGGGTGGCGGAGTTTTGGGAGCCCAGCTGGGAGCAACACACATCACTCAGGCTGCTGTGAATGCATATCAAAGTCACAATCAACATCAGGGACAGGTACAGGTTTCAATTTTTTTTATTTTTGTGGCTTCCCCAGCATTGTATAAAGGGATAATTTCATGGGTTAAAGATGGTGCAACCCTTAACCCACAACATTGTTATGTGCTCCCTCCACCCGATGTTAATCGGTTTTGCGTTTATGACAGCTAAAATTACGCAATACCCCCTGTGCATATTAACCCATAACAGCGTTTTACACTTAAACCCATACTTTTATTTTGATGCCTTTATAGCCGCTGGATCGCGATCAACCGAACGGACGACCCCAGTGGCGCTTCACTGTATTCGCCCAGGACGAGGGTGGCGAGGGACTCGTGGGCTATGCGGATGTCCAGGTCAATCTGAAGGACATCAACGATAACGCCCCCATTTTCCCGCAGGGCGTTTACTTTGGCAACGTGACGGAGAACGGAACCGCCGGCATGGTTGTGATGACCATGACGGCCGTGGACTACGACGACCCCAACGAGGGCTCCAACGCCCGGCTGGTGTACTCCATCGAGAAGAACGTGATTGAGGAGGAGACGGGGTCGCCCATTTTTGAAATCGAACCCGACACGGGTGTGATAAAGACCGCCGTCTGTTGCCTGGATCGCGAGAGAACCCCGGATTATTCGATACAGGTCGTTGCGATGGATGGCGGGGGGTTAAAGGGGACGGGGACGGCCTCTATACGGGTTAAGGATATCAACGACATGCCGCCGCAGTTCACGAAGGACGAATGGTTTACGGAAGTGGACGAAACGGATGGCACGGCTCTGCCGGAAATGCCCATTTTAACCGTGACCGTGCACGACGAAGACGAAACGAACAAGTTCCAGTACAAAGTTATCGACAACAGTGGCTATGGGGCCGATAAATTCACCATGGTGCGGAATAACGATGGAACCGGCTCCCTGAAAATCGTACAGCCCCTGGACTACGAGGATCAGCTGCAGAGCAATGGCTTCCGTTTCCGCATTCAGGTGAACGACAAGGGCGAGGACAACGACAACGATAAATACCATGTGGCCTACTCGTGGGTGGTGGTCAAGCTGAGGGACATCAACGACAATAAGCCGCACTTCGATCGGGCCAATGTGGAGGTCTCCGTGTTCGAGGACACCAAGGTGGGCACTGAGCTCGAGAAGTTCAAGGCCACCGATCCGGATCAGGGCGGCAAGAGCAAGGTCTCCTATTCCATCGATCGTTCTTCGGATCGCCAGCGCCAGTTTGCCATCAACCAGAATGGTTCGGTCACCATTCAGCGCTCCCTGGATCGCGAAGTTGTGCCCCGTCATCAGGTCAAGATCCTGGCCATTGACGATGGCTCTCCACCGAAAACAGCCACGGCCACACTCACGGTTATCGTTCAGGATATCAACGACAATGCTCCCAAGTTCCTCAAGGACTACAGACCAGTGCTGCCTGAGCATGTGCCGCCGCGTAAGGTGGTCGAAATCCTGGCCACCGATGACGACGATCGCTCCAAGAGCAACGGCCCTCCATTCCAGTTCCGATTGGACCCCAGTGCCGACGATATAATCCGTGCTTCCTTCAAGGTCGAACAGGATCAAAGTGAGTACATATTTTTTAAAGGAACATTATATTTAAAACATACATTTTTTTTAAGAACTATTATTATTTTCAAATCGCAGCAATTTCTAGAATAATATCGCAGGCCTCTTGTTTCATTTTTATAGTTTCCGAAGCAATTCTGCCATGTTTAATGACCTATAAATATTTTTATCTAACTAAGAATACAAACAAAATCATTTTCCCCCCAGCCAAAGAATCTTCTACCCCTCGATTTAGCAATCTGGTTTCCAAACACCAGCCAATTACTTGTGAATTGCTGCACATACTCAACCCGAAGAGGTTATGGGGATCTGAAAATAGTTGCGAGCTGACCGAAACTTTGCCGGATGCAATGAAAAAGTTTGCCAAATATTTGGGTCAAAGCTTAAACAATGCACCAGCGTAACACTATTTGCCCTTTTTGTGTGTGCCTGTATTGAAATTTTCTTCCCGAGTATCGAGGGGACCGGAAAAGGGTTGTGGCCAGTGTCACAGAGCGCTAACAATGGCATAAAAATGCAATTACCTCGTAGAGGATGCCCGAAATGAATAGCCAGGAATCTTTGGCCATGCAACGGAAACCGTAAACCGCATCGCACATGAAAATTTAAATAGTATAAGCAAGGCAGCGCAGAAGACTCACCCACCTGGGCGAGAAATGAAATGGCAAATGCACAAGTTTTCAATTAAATTACCCCCGGCCATGTAGAGTGTGCCCGCAAAATCCAAACTCCATATGTATGCATCGCAGCTCCCTTGGAAAAGCCAAGAAAAAAAAAAGATGGGGAAAAAGTGCCCAAGCAGTCACAATTTGTGTGGGTGGCAATCCAATTTTGATGCCCCAGCTGGGAAATGGGAAAAGCTGCAAGTTCGGGGCTTTCGGGAGTCCGCACAACTACGATTCTGTGACTTTATGCAAACGTTCGTGGGGTTCGTGGGCGAACAGGAGGCTTTGCCAGACTCCTATTTGCATACAATTTGCCTAAAAACACACCATGGAGTGTCTTTAAAAATACATTTCAAATGTGCGTTCTCGCCCGGGCTCCTGGGGCTTCTCCCCTCCGGTCCAATAGTTTCCATTCCTCCGGACTTCCAGACTTAACACTTGTTGGCTCAAAGGCGTAATTACAACAAATGGGCCATTGCACAAGTTGCATCTGCAATCAGGTGGAAAACGTGCTGGCTAATAAAAGAGCTTACTTTTTGGGTTGGTTAGTTGTCAGAGCTTACGGCAAATGCCTTTGAAGTCCTGAACAGCAACTGGATTTGGGCTGGTCTCTTGGCAGTTACATTCCCGAGAATTGGTAGTTTATTCACCTGTAGGCAGATGTCGGCCTTGCTTGGGAATCTCTTGAGTAGTGGATAAAATAGTTAAGGATTAAATTAATGAATTTCTAGGGATTTATTTAGATTTCTTTTCATTATTTTGTATTTTCCATTTTACAGAGGGTGCCAATGGTGATGGCATGGCCGTGATTTCCTCTCTACGATCCTTCGATCGTGAACAGCAAAAGGAGTACATGATCCCCATCGTGATCAAGGACCATGGCTCACCAGCAATGACGGGAACCAGTACTCTGACTGTCATAATTGGCGATGTGAATGACAACAAAATGCAGCCCGGCTCCAAGGAGATCTTCGTATACAACTACCAAGGACAATCGCCAGACACTCCGATCGGTCGGGTCTATGTCTACGACCTGGACGACTGGGATCTGCCCGACAAGAAGTTCTACTGGGAGGCCATGGAGCATCCGCGCTTCAAGTTGGACGAGGACTCCGGCATGGTCACCATGAGGGCAGGAACCCGCGAAGGACGCTATCATCTCAGGTTCAAGGTCTACGACCGCAAGCACACGCAAACCGACATACCAGCCAATGTCACGGTTACGGTCAGGGAAATTCCCCATGAAGCCGTCATCAACTCGGGATCCGTTCGCCTGTCTGGTATTTCGGATGAGGACTTTATTCGCGTGTGGAACTACAGAACCCAGAGCATGAGTCGCTCCAAGATGGATCGTTTCCGGGACAAGCTGGCGGATTTACTGAATACCGAACGGGAGAATGTGGATATATTTAGTGTGCAGCTGAAGAGGAAGCATCCGGCTCTAACCGATGTTAGATTCTCGGCCCACGGATCGCCGTACTACAAGCCGGTTAGGCTAAATGGCATTGTCCTCATGCACCGCGAGGAGATCGAAAAGGACGTGGGCATCAATATCACGATGGTGGGCATCGACGAGTGCCTGTATGAGAATCAGATGTGTGAGGGTAGCTGCACGAATGCGCTGGAAATCAGTCCCCTGCCCTATATGGTGAATGCCAACAAGACTGCCCTGGTCGGCGTGCGAGTGGACACCATTGCCGACTGTACTTGCGGAGCTCGCAACTTCACCAAGCCCGAATCCTGCCGCACGACTCCCTGCCACAATGGAGGCCGATGTGTGGACACCAGATTCGGACCGCATTGCTCGTGTCCCGTGGGCTATGCCGGTCCCAGGTGTCAGCAGACCACTCGCAGCTTCCGTGGAAACGGCTGGGCCTGGTATCCTCCGCTGGAGATGTGCGACGAGTCGCATTTGAGCCTGGAGTTTATCACTCGAAAGCCCGATGGCCTGATCATCTACAATGGACCGATTGTTCCGCCCGAACGGGATGAGACGCTGATATCCGACTTCATTGCCCTGGAACTGGAGCGAGGCTATCCCAGACTCCTCATCGACTTCGGTTCGGGCACTTTGGAACTGAGGGTGAAGACCAAAAAGACTCTGGATGACGGCGAGTGGCACAGGATCGATCTGTTTTGGGACACCGAGAGCATTCGCATGGTGGTGGACTTCTGCAAGTCGGCGGAAATAGCCGAAATGGAGGACGGCACTCCGCCGGAGTTCGATGACATGACCTGCCAGGCGAGGGGTCAAATCCCGCCGTTCAATGAGTATCTCAATGTGAATGCTCCCCTGCAAGTGGGCGGCTTGTACCGGGAACAGTTCGACCAGAGCCTCTACAACTGGCACTACATGCCCACGGCCAAGGGTTTCGATGGCTGCATTAGAAATCTGGTGCATAACTCCAAGCTCTACGATCTGGCTCATCCGGGACTGTCGAGGAACAGTGTGGCGGGCTGTCCGCAAACCGAGGAGGTTTGCGCCCAAACGGAGACCACAGCCCGTTGCTGGGAGCATGGCAATTGTGTGGGATCCTTGTCCGAAGCTCGCTGCCATTGCCGGCCGGGTTGGACTGGTCCTGCCTGCAATATTCCCACCATACCCACCACCTTCAAGGCCCAGAGTTATGTGAAGTACGCTCTGAGCTTCGAACCCGATCGGTTCAGCACTCAGGTGCAGCTGAGGTTCCGCACGAGGGAGGAGTACGGAGAACTGTTCCGTGTTAGCGATCAGCACAATCGGGAGTATGGAATCCTGGAGATCAAGGATGGTCATCTGCACTTCCGCTACAATCTGAACTCGCTTCGTACCGAGGAAAAGGATCTCTGGCTGAACGCCATAGTGGTCAACGATGGCCAGTGGCACGTGGTGAAGGTCAATCGGTATGGCTCCGCTGCTACCCTGGAATTGGATGGCGGTGAGGGTCGTCGCTACAACGAAACCTTTGAGTTCGTGGGACATCAGTGGTTGCTGGTGGACAAACAGGAGGGTGTCTATGCAGGCGGAAAGGCTGAGTACACTGGCGTTAGAACCTTTGAGGTGTACGCAGATTACCAGAAGAGCTGTCTCGACGATATACGGTGAGTGTTCTAATTTAGTATACCTTGTTATATTGGTTTTAAAAATTTAACTATTGCTAATTATTAATTTAAATATATATTTTTTGTTTTTCCATCTACAGTCTTGAAGGCAAACATCTTCCTCTGCCGCCGGCCATGAACGGCACCCAATGGGGTCAGGCCACAATGGCCAGGAATCTGGAGAAGGGCTGTCCCTCCAATAAACCCTGCTCGAATGTGATCTGCCCCGATCCCTTTGAGTGCGTGGATCTGTGGAATGTCTACGAGTGCACGTAAGTTTCTCCATCGCCTATTCATTTTATTCACATTAAGGAAATCACCCATTGCTTTTCGTTTCTCATCAATCAAAAAGAAAAATTAAAACCATTTAAATAAATTGACTACTCGGACTGTACATTCACAAACATACCATGAAAAGCAGGGTAAAACCTCAAATTACGCAAAAGCCGAAAATGGCGATAGGAAACACCCCAGAAAATTCACAAACCAATACCTTTTAAAAGGAAACAAAAGGAAAACAAATCGGCAGCTTTCGATAAGCAAGCGCAAAGCTAACATTTGATAGGCTTAATCAATTAAAGGCAGGCACAGAAAAAAATAGTACAAATAACAAGGGTATAAAAACGGAATACAGAGTACAGAGCAGGAGGAGCAGCTTATTGGACCTGTCCGTCAAAGGACCTTGTGCCGGAGATTCAGTTCAACACGACCACACTCGTCGTTCTCCACACATGGCGCAAAAGTCAGTTAGTGATTGGCACTAAACGTTGCGTGACAAATCAATCGGCTTAGGCTTACGTTTCCGATTTCGCTTTGACTTCGGGTTAAAGTCGATTCGAGATTGGAGATTCCAGATGCGGGAGAAAAAACATTTGTCCGGCTTGTAGTGGTCTTTGTACATATTCACGCTTTTGTTTCATTACACAGAGCAGCGGTAACAAGCTTAGCACAGGTACTACTACGTCGCTTATCTTTGTTTCACACACACCAACTACACTTTACACTTTGTTAACTTTACGCTTTTGGTCAGTGGAAAATCAATCACCTAAGTAGCGGAAGACTTAAATTGAGATAAATATTCCCTTGGAAAGTGTTTCAGAAATTACTAGGGGTTTGAAATTACTCTTTAAGGTGACTAAAAGTATGCTGTGAAAACAATCGTCATCATATATTGTTGCATACTTTCAGACACTTGTGTGTAAATATTTCAAATAGTTGAGTTTTTCGTAATTAATTCAAGTTTCTCTTATTAAAAAATCGAAATACATGAGAAAATATATTACCGTATACCCGATTGCCCATTAAACTCCCCGCATAATTATCTGACTTAACTTGGACCTGTCTTAAATATGTTAACTTATCCATCACACAATTGGAACATCCATTCGATATTTACATTTTCGGTTGCCCAGTTTTTATTGCCACTTATCCCATGAACCCAACTAGTTAATGTTAAACTAATGTTAATTAAAATACGAAATGAAATAGTTGCGGCGAAGGACGCATTATGTCGCCCGATTCCAAGGGCTGTATGGATCGCAACGAGTGCCTCGACATGCCCTGTATGAACGGCGCGACTTGCATTAATCTCGAGCCCCGACTTCGATATCGTTGCATATGTCCCGATGGTTTCTGGGGCGAGAATTGCGAACTGGTGCAGGAGGGTCAGACCTTAAAACTCAGCATGGGCGCCCTAGCGGCGATTTTGGTCTGCCTTTTGATCATACTGAGTGAGCATCCAACCAAAGAGTCGCCCCCAAAAATGATTAAATATTCGAAATATGCAACAACAACCACCTTTAGTATAATCAAGCAATTAGTGCTTTAGCGAATGCTTAGCGTTTTAGTGTCTATGTTGTTACGTTATTCAAACCTAATTAGCTGGTCGCAATCATCCAATAAAATTCATGCAAATACCATTTCATTTCACCATCAATTCGACATTTTCAAAGGCTTTATGCACTTTGCTTTTATTTTATCATCTCTCTCTCTATCATTTATAAATCCAATCATTCGGCATCAAAATCACGGCTCACCGAATCTACCTTTAATGAAAATTTATATATTTGGCACATGGCTTTCAATATGCCCGGTGACATTTAACCCATTCAAAAAGGCATTTCCATATTCATCAAACTATGATTTCATCTCCATACCGTTTTGAATGTTTGTTTTTGGCACATTTTTCGTTCAGCCTTCCACTCGATGTCTAGTATTATTCAAACTGTTTGTGTGTGTAAATAATTTATGTAACTAAATGAAGGTATGTACCCCATGCGTAGTGGAATATTTAAGTTGACTTCTGGCCGGGTATTTAAATCAGAACCCCACTATCCATTTAGTTTTTTGAGCTACACTTTTGCCAACTCTCCGCCCCATCACCCATTTCAAAATGCACTCAGGCGAGAGAAAGAACAAGACCTGAAATGCCCTTCAGGTAAGTTAACAAATGTGCAGTCAAAGATACAAGTTGCCCATGAGGAGACAAGGGCAAGCCACCCTAAACCGAGCAAGAGCAATTGCAGTTGTTAGCTTTGGCATTTCGAGAAATCACGATGCACTAAATCCGCCCACCTTACTATATATATTAGGAAATAAAAAGGAGCAGAAGAGTACAGACGATGGAGGACAGGAAGATCAGACAGCTCAAAGGAGCAGGTTGGAAAAGTGGCACTAAGAAGCTGCCAGTCCCATTTCGGGCAATGCCTCGCGAGGATTTAGTACGTTTGCATTTACTTTTTTCATCTCCATTTCTTTTTCGTTAAATGCCGGGTATGTGTGTAAACAGCCAGAAAAATGCCAGTTTCAGGCTCAGAGCTCAGCTCCATCTATATGCCACCGTTGGTTAGCGTTTAAAAGTAAATACGGTTCGTGGAGCGTACAGAAATTGTTTCGGGCCCGAGTCAGCTTCAACTAGAACTTAATGACGTAAAATATGGCAAACTTTATAGACGAACAATTTCGCAAAAATTATCAAGTACCTTACTCACTTCTGATGGGTTTAAACTATGCACTTGGGAGCAATCGAAGGCAAGGAAAAGCAGCCAAAAATGAAAGAAAAACTTTTCAACTGGCGCTGATTTAGTGTGAAAGTTTCTGGCTGCCTTTGAGGTGTTTACTCTATTCTCGTCCGTTTCCAGTTGCTTGCTCCTTTTTTCTGCTTCCCCGTTGTGCAGGACACGATGGTCAAGTCATGGCATTTGCCAATAATCGTCAATATATCAAAAGTGTCTCGAGTCTGCATTTGAAAAGTATTCAATTGTATTTGCTAAAAAAAAAGTTGCTCGAAAGCCATGAATTTTTTAAGAGCTGAGAGAGAAAAGAGAAGGCAGCTGAAATGTAGAGACATTTTTTTTGGAAATAATACAAGCTTCATTGAGAGGTTGTCTTCTGGGAGTTTCTCAGACGGTTGAAGAAAAAGAAGTTTTTATTTGAAACTAAAATATATTTAAACAATTCTTGAAAATATATCCTTTAACCCAAGAATGTTCTTCCAGAATATTTCAACTGTAATCTGTATTCATTTTACAATTTTACAAGCCCTATTTGTCATCATCTTGGGCAATTTATCTAGCCAGATAACTAAGTTTATTTTTCAAAAAAAAAGATCCCATGCATCTCAATTACTCAGATCTTGAGTCAAATAAATCTCTCATGGCCATTTCACACCTCAATTCGCAAAGTCAACTGACATTGCAAAGTTTTCATCCCTCTGGTTCTCAAAAAACGAGTGTGAGTGCGTTGCCGAAAACTAATCAAAACAAACTTAAGAGCGAACGCAAAAAATAGTAACGAAAAGTGAGACAAAATAAAATGAAATCCAACTTAGCCCAAGAATGCAGCTAGTGGAAAAACTTTATTCAATTCCAAGCAGGGAAACAAAAACTGTTACATAATAATCATAAAGGCAAACAAAGATTGTAAAAACAGCACTTAAAATGCGTGTTAGGGTGGCCAAGTCGATGCGCAATGCAAATGCAAAAAGTTTGTCACTCGACCGAAAACGAAACTAAAAACTCACAAAGCGTAAAATAATAACTACAACAAAAAAATAGGAAAAAATGGTAAAGTTGCAACGAACGTTTAAAAAGACTTTCTGACGGTTTTTCACACTCCAAGAGGATGAGAGCGAAAGAGAGCAAAGGAAAATATTCCATTCTCATAACTATTCAAACGAACCCAGAGAAGCTACCAAACACTGCGGGAAAATTTAGACCTACAATCAGGAATAATTTTCATAAAAAATAAATAAAATACAATTTTTTTATTACAACAATTTATACAATATTAATATCACAATTTTAAAACCCCTAATCTTTAAAACCATATTAGTAAGTCATTTTAAAAAAACCTATTTTTCCGAGCTTCCGGTAAATACTTTTGAAGTTTATTCCTGATTTTAGAACATCACTTTTTCCCAGTGTAACAATATGCAGAAACTTTTCCCAAGACACATCCACACACACCACACTCCTGCATGATGGAAACAAATTTTAAATAATTTCTTTTATTTTTTCAACACTCCACACACACACCACCCATACATACCACATCCACTCGAACAATCAACCAACCACTCGTATACGTAACTTTTCGGGGTCCGTCCTTCAGCTGTCCGGCGGGCTACAAAAGCTCCGGCAGCACCTGTGTTAACGACAACGAGTGCCTACTGTTCCCGTGCCGCAACGGGGGTCGCTGTCGCGATCATCATCCTCCGAAGAAGTACGAGTGCCACTGCCCCATGGGCTTCACTGGCATGCACTGCGAACTGGAGTTATTGGCCTCCGGCGTATTGACGCCGTCCCGAGATTTTATTGTCGCCCTGGCGCTCTGCCTGGGCACTCTGATGCGTAAGTATATACCGCAGACCCACTGAAGAGGTGTGGCATCAAACGGTGGCTGAGTTTACTTAAGGTTTGACTATCCTAAAAATTGGGCAAACTTAATATATACTGAAAAGAGAACCTAATTCTTACGCATGCTTTTGATTTTAATTTTATATCAAGTATTAAGTAATTCATTTCTCATTTAGTTTAAGCTTATCCAGTACATTTCGGAATTCTTTAATTTCCCCTTGATTTCCTTATGCCAATTAAAAGTTTAATCAAACGTGTACATGTCCCTTAAATATTGATGGCATCGCGCGAAAGCCATAAAATTAATTAAGTCTTACAATCGTCCATCTGCAATGACCGGAAACGACAGATCCCGGCAAGCAAACATGTCAAAAGTCATTTCCGCAAATTACACAACGCAACAAAAGTCCTTACATAAATTAAAGTTTATTGAATGGTCAGCGGAAAATTTTTGCATATCAATCTGGGCGTTGCCGCTATAAATCCAAGTACAAATTAAACATTGTTGGTAGGGAATATAAATTTTTGTATTGCGAACGCGTATTTGACTAACACAATAATTGCAATTATTTGCTGGCCAGCTGGCATGAGGCATACAAAAAAAAGAGGAAAAAGATAAACTTTGCCCAGACGAAGAAGCCGCAGCAAATTACTTAACGTCAACTTCAAGTTGTGGTGGCAATTTCCACGACTCGGAATGGCCAAAAACTTTTTGTTTTCCCAAGGTTTTCCCGTGCAACAGATGCTGTCTGCGTTTCGCAATATGCTGAAAAACGCGCTGGCAAAATTAGAAATGCTACAGAGAGACAGCAGCGGATTCAAGTCGTCTGCTGCTTGATTTGCTGTTATTTTCTGTTGACCAGAAAACTGGGACAATGTTTGCAATATTTGTGTAGGTTTCCTTTTATTTCTGCCATTTTCATTTTCCCTCTTCTTTTTTATTTTCCGTATTTTTGCCGTACTCCGTTTTGCGTGTACAATTTAATTAAGATTTTTTCTGCAAGCTGATAGCGAGCAGATATTTTCGGATTCGCTCTCTCGCTGGCAAAAGAAGTGCAACTAAAATTGTTCTGCATGTTAAATTAAGCGTAGTATGATGCACTTTGTAAACCCAAGAAGTTGTTGTTGCATACCGAAGGTGGGCCATTTTTGAGGGGAAATTGCATTTTAATATTGTTGGCTTTAAACTATTCGCAGTACTCGTCCTGGTGTTCGTCGTATACAATCGTCGCCGTGAGGCGCATATCAAATATCCGGGTCCCGATGATGATGTGCGCGAGAATATAATCAACTACGACGATGAGGGAGGCGGCGAGGATGACATGACCGCCTTTGATATCACACCCCTGCAAATACCAATTGGAGGGCCAATGCCACCTGAGCTGGCGCCCATGAAAATGCCAATTATGTGTAAGTATTCCAAGGAATTTTCTTTGTACAGATGCAAGGCACTCAAGTTGAAAGGGCATATAAATAAAATAATTGCCTTCTTTCATTCAAAAATTAAAATGTTTAAATTATGGTTTTACCTATAAGATATATCATATATATATATTTAATACATATTTTTAGATCCCGTTATGACCTTAATGCCTGGTCAGGAGCCCAATGTGGGCATGTTCATTGAGGAGCATAAAAAGCGCGCCGATGGTGATCCCAATGCGCCGCCTTTCGATGACTTGAGGAATTATGCGTACGAGGGTGGCGGCAGCACAGCTGGATCGCTCAGCTCGTTGGCTTCAGGTAGGCCTCAAAAATAGATGTACTAATTTAAGAATAGTTCTTGCACCCAATATACAGCCGTTTAGTCACGAAACTTGAACCAAAAGCCTGAGATGCCCCAAAATGTAGGCTAAAAATAACTAGAAAAGCATTCATAGTGTGCAATTGAAATCGAAAACTAAAGCACTCGATTCGTTGTTGACTTATCATCTTTTCTGACATTTCCAGGTCAACGTGTCTCAGATTCAGCTGAATATTGGGTGTAAATTTAGCAGAAAATATAAAACCGTAAATGGTATTTTTGTCTCTTACTTTGCATTCGACAACACTGATGTAAAACATCGACTAACAAGAAGTCTTTTTAGAATTTTAGAATTAACAGAACAGATATATTTGTATTATTATTGAAAATGGAATATTGAAATTAATAATGGATTTTCGTTTGTGTATTTCCTTATTTATTGCAGGAACTGATGACGAGCAGCAGGAGTATGACTACCTCGGGGCCTGGGGGCCACGCTTCGACAAGCTGGCCAACATGTACGGACCCGAGGCGCCCAATCCCCACAATACCGAACTAGAATTGTAAGCTGCATGAGAAAGCAAGGAGAGTCGAAGAATCGAGTGGGGAGAAGGGAGAGACCGAATCCAAATCCGATGCGGATACCTAGATGAACAAACTAAAACTGTTAGTAGATACAAAGTTGCATTTAAAACGAAATGAAAACCCCACTCACGAGGGAAACTCACACACAAAGAAAGCGCAACCAAAGAAGCATCTCAATGCTGAAGTTGGCAAAACTCTCTACGTAAATGGAAACTAAGAACTAGAAAACTAAACACGGGGAAGGGAAATGAATATGGAAGTGAATGAAAAATCAAACACATATTATATGACACTTAAAATGACATTTGTAAAAATATTTCATCAGCATTTAAATTTAAACAATTACGATAATGAGATTAAGTTATTAGGACAACCCGAACCGAAAATTACGGTTGCACTTTTTCCAGCATTTTTTGCGGGGCAAGGTAAGAACGAATTAAAAAAAAACGAGGAAATGAGAATTGTAAGGTGTAGAAGAGAGCATACCAAAGTTTAGTTTAGGAGCGCTTATGAATTTATAACTTTAATTCTCGAACAGATTTGTTGTGCATACTATTTTAAGTTGTAATTATTATTTTAAGCATTTTCTGTTTATAAGTTTGTGACGTTCGTGAGAGTCATTTAGCGGTTAAGCCAGAACAAATTCTCAAAGCCTTTAATTTATCGATAGTTTAAGTTAAACATTTTTATTTTGCATTACTTTTTAAGGATTACAATTAAACAGAATTAAAACTTATATAAAGGAATACCCAAAGACTGTTTTCGTTCCATCATAACAAGTATATACATACATTAAAACACGAAACATATATATATTATCATATAAACCTTACGAAAAATTTTAACTGCAAATCGAAGGGCGTTTCGCAAGATGTCGCATTGTGTATCATTCAATATAAAGAAAAACCAAATCGGGAAAATCCTGGACAGAAAGTTCAGAAAGAAAGTACTCCTAAAAATTATTCTAAAAGCAAAAACAATTCTGCTAAAATCTCCATACAAAGTGTATCTAGCCGAAAAAATGCTGGCAAAGTAAAGTAAAATAAAGAGTAAAAGTAAAGAAAAAGAAAAAATTACCTTTAGATGAACTTAGCGCAATTGATATAATTAAATTGAATACTTAAAAAGAAAGAAAATGATATATATTAATGATGAAAGCATGGAAAAGTATTTTACATTGTATATATTATTAGTTTTAGCACGTATACAAAAAAACACACACAGACACAACAACAATATTAAACCAAAATAAATTGGTAGCAAAACCTAAAATCTTATTAAGTCATTTCAACTAGAGTGGAAAAACGCATTCAAATTAAAAAAATAAAAACTTTCATATAAATAAAAACTTTCAAAAAATAAACACCCAAAACCAACTGCATTTAAAAACAAACTTTTTCCACACGACAAAGCAAACGTTTCTGCAGATTCATTTTATTTTCCCAATTTGTTCAACGAAGCTTTTATCGATAGATATCAGACGAACATTTTGATTCATTTTTATTTCTTATTGCATAGACCCACACGTAATAAAAGTTGAATTTGTAAGTTGAATTCACGTTTTCGTTTTCATTTCAAACTGTCAGCCAGAAAAGCAAAATCAGATCAACAGTTTACCGATTACAGATTGTAGAGAACCGTAAGTACATGCATATTATAAAAATATATATATGAAATCTATCTAAATCATAGAGTTTTCCAGGCTCCACGGCCACAAAAATGATCCTATTGAAATTTTAATTTTCAGTTCCTTAGTTTTGCATAATTTTCCTTTAGGCAGATACAATACAGCCCCACAGCCACTTAGAATTTTCGGTATTCGAGATATTCCTATTACCACAAGAGAAAAGTTATTGAACAGTACTTAAGAAACACTTACCATATACATACATATAACAAAAGGAAATGGAGAAAAATCTAACAAAACTGCAACAAAAGTTGACTATTGAAAAGTGCAAAGATTTTAACGTAATTGTTAAACCATACAGCGAAATAAATAATAATAAACTTCTCTGCTGTACTTGTTTGAGAAAATTCATAGAAATTTTAAAGCACATTAATTGTTAAATCGAACCTTGACTCGAAGTAGCCATTTACGAATAACCGAAGCCATTTTGCATGATTTGCCTGCGTAGCTACAGTGCGGTACTGTACAGCAAGTCCGCAAATCGAGAGACACACAGAACACTGCCAAAATTATGGTTTAGTTTCGCAAAGACTAGTAAGGTTAATTCAACGAACCGTTCATTTTTGGCTTTCGCTCTTCTTTCACGCACTAAACTTATCATTTGGCCTTCTTCGTGACGCATCTGACTTTGAATAAATTTTGCATTTATATATGTATAGGTCGAACAGCCAACGGAAACGAAAAAAATATAAAAAAGGAACACCCAAACAAGACACCCGCAAAACACACTTTCAACAAGGCAAACATTTTAAATTGAAAGACAGTCAGATAAACAGCAAACAAAAGAACCGAAGCGATATTTTATATTTATGATAACAGCTGAAAAACACACTGAATAAAAACCCAATTAGTAGAATGGCAAGTGGATTACATACTCATTTACAAGCATTTGTTATATATTTTGTAATGTAAGTTAGAGGCATATACTATTTATTGAATAATGCACGGACACATACATATATAATGCGAAATACATTTACACCAAAAGGACACAACCACACACATACTGACAGACTGACAGAAAGACAGAACCATACATGCGATGCAAGAATCATACTATTTGATAACTATGTATTTATAATGTATGCATTTTTTACCAACCCAAAAAAATGAAGCGGCAGAAAAAACCAAATCTCCTCTATAAAAACGTAAAACCCATTATGTCTAATAAAATGGAAAACAGATACACACACACTAACACGAACATAAATGCGAAGCCGAAAAACAAAAAAACGATTTGAATGCAGTTTTAGATAAATTTGCATATAAGTACATTATTATGTAAAATCACTTTAATATACAGCAAACAGAAAAAGAGAAAACGGAAACTAGTATTAAAAAATGAAATTATGAATAAATTACCAGTAATAATGATAAAACAAAGGCAAGGCAAACTGCTGGAAAAACTAACAAATCAATTGTGTCAGTATCGAAAACGATAAAAATGCTAATTGAGTAAGCGACAGAGGAAAGGCGTGAAAAACTTGTAAGCTAATCGCGCCACTTGAGGGGGATTTAGTTAAGGAAACCTATACACGAACATACACACAAACACATTGACATATACACACATTTACTCATAGACAACAACAACTGCAATTATATTAAACGAGAAATTATTATAAAAGCAAGAAAACACACAAAAAGAAAAGTGGAAAGCAAACAAAAAGAAAGAATAAAAAATAAATAAAGAATCTGTAACGTTATATGGAAAACAAAAATGGAAAAACCGTATTTTTATTGAAGTGAAATGGAGGGAGTCTTTAACAACACAAAGTTATCTTTTTAAATTATTTTACCTAATGCGAAATTTACAGTTTTTAGATTGGAAATACTTTTTAAATTTTTCTTGAGTTGAGATATTGAGTTTGAGATTTGGAATATTCTTTACATTTTCATTGACTTAAAGCGTTTAGTAAGCTTCTGATCGATATATTCAATTCTCATACATGCACTGTAAATGTTTGTACCTCCCAGACAGTAATCCGTTGTTATCTTGGTATTACAATGGCCATTCCACTTGCAGGTAGTTCTCGAGCACATTGCTATTTGTTTATTTGTATATTACATATTGCATTGCATCAAATGAAACCAATATTATGCCAATGTCAATGTTGAGTCAGACAAGCTCGAAGCCGCGGGCGGAAACTCCCAGAATCCTATTATATCCCTATTGGGCCGGGTGTGTGGCCTTTGTCTGCAGTCACACTATCGCTATCAGCAAATATAAGCAGCAGTAACTATAAACATACAAAGCACACAACACAGGGAAACACTATTGCCCCGAGAAAAGAACGTATACATTCGTTCACAGGTTTTACAAAGAAATGCAGAAGATTTGTAAACGGATTTGGCTTTCGCTTTTGGCCCCGACTACAATTTCCTTTTTTTTCTAGTCAAAAGATGGGAATGAAATCTTCGCTTTGCCACAAAGGCAAATATGTATAGTGGGGTGAAAGACGGCAGGCAGTTGGAGTTTTTCCCTTACATTTTCCAGTGAGGCATCAAATTTCCAATATTATTGCTCCCTGTTGAACATTTGTCTTGCCCTTTTCGCCGGCTCTTGGCACGTTCCAACAATTGTTTAAGGCGCCAAAACAAATTGCGCATACGCCAAGTGGTGCGGGCTGAGCAAAATATATACGTATATGCAAACATTCACTTCAAGCGCAATTTATAAGCCACAATTTGTGCGGACTATTTTTAGCTAAACAATTTGTTTAGCCGTCTCTGTGCAGCTGTCGATTTATTGGCCAACCCTTGCTTTCTCCCATTTCGCCTTCACTCTCCCCGTCCGATTTCATTGTCAAGCTTTCGCTTTTGTTTGTTTTCACATCCCACCCCACTGGTATTTATTGGCTTTGTTTTTGGACTGCGAAATTTATGAATTTGGCGCTGACAAGAGCCGCTCGTTTATCTCATCTAATAAGTTTCGCTTGTTGCTCAACTTGCCTTTTCGTTTCGGATTTTTTACTTTCTTACGCCAGGGCTTGTTGCTCTTGCTCATTTGCAGTAAAAATTCTAGTTATGACCTTTGTGTACAACACTGGGGGAAAAAACACAGTGATAGCGGAAGGTCAAAACTTAAAAATACAGCTTGTCGTTCGTAAACTTGTTTTGTTGTTGCTGGAAAATTATTTAATGTATTTATATCACTCACAAAATCACTCACAAAAATTAAACTCATCTTCACATATTTCATACACATTTTTCTGTGGACTTTGTATTGATTTTGAAGTGGGCCAGCAGTTTGATTAGCCGGCTGATGTTTCGATTTCAGCTTCCGCTTTTGGGCTTCGAATCCCGATTCGTGTGTGGGTATTCTTTTACGGCCGGCTGTTAAAGGCTAACATTTCTCGATTTTGGCTGCCGACTAAAGCGAACCAGCAGAACCAGCCAATATGCATTTTTTAGTTAAGTGCTGCAGTTTATGAAATTGCTCCGGGCCAACTTTGAATGGAATTTTATAAGCGAAGGATGGACGGGTTTTAAAGTGGAAAAATCGAGAGACACGTGAAACAAATTTGCGGATGTTTGGCCACTGATTTAATCTCACTCAATTGCGAATGATACTTATCGCATTTGCGCTTCAAAGCGGAATACGAAATCAAGGCATTTTCAAATGCGATTTTGCGCCCGAAAGCATGCAGTAAATATGCGCACTAGATAAGCACATGTCATCCACATATGTGCGACCGGGGCCCAGATTCCGGCTTTGTTTTCTGCCGCCCACATATTTCAATATTTTGCCAACATGTCACATAGATGACATTCATTTCCTACAGTCAACACGCACAATTTGTCGCTCGCAAATGAAATGAAACGCTCCAAGACAACAAAGTCGAACGGCGGAAGGAGCAGCGAGCCAGCGAGCTCGTACAAATCCCCTGTCACACCGGAAAATCTTTGGAAAAAACCAGAAAAATGAAAATAACAAGGGGATAAATGAAAGGAGCGTATCATGTTTTGGCCCAAAGGCGAAAATCAACACATGCAAATGCTGAAAGTGAGAGCGAGAGATGACAGCTCCAGGCCAGATGGCTACGAATAGATTTCAAAAAATGTTTAACAATATGTATACACAATGAAAAACTTTACAACGTGCCTGACGGAATTTTGTTTGAAGATCTAATACTTTCGTTTTTATACATTTTATATTGCAATCTGACATACATAAAATGAAGTTGTAATTTTCGGTTATTCTTTAATTCTTCTAAAACGTAAAAGAGTAACTTTTTTCTTCGTGTACCTACAAGGCATATAAAAACATGTTCAACTAAACCCACGCGTGCACATCACGGAAATACTTGAAATACCCCAAAAAAAGAAAGCTTCTAAAATGAACCCCTGGAAAACTTGAGCAATTTAAATCCTAATCGGGCTCAATTTGATTGTCCTCGCAGTTTACCCCTCCGCAGGGCTTGCGGCTGGTCGTTAAGGCCAACTTGTCAGTCAATCAAAGGTCAAAAGGGTTGCCCTAGGACGAAATAAGGAAAAAAGGAAAAGGGACAACGGTCGCTGGTTGACAAGCATTAAATAAATAGCACGGATCACTTTAGAAACATATTAAATTTGTGGCTACAAATTACTTAATGAATGTGGGAATGCCTTCGGATTCCGTCGAGGCACGAATGGGATATATCCTTTTGGCCATATG